CCTTCAGTGTTGTCTTTACATCTTCTACAAAATCTACTATGTCCTTTTTCTTATATAGTTTTTCGTAGAAAAACTCGAATGCTTCCCTTATTTCTGTTCTCTAATGTTCCTATTGTCCTGGAGACCAGATAAGTGAAAGCAATCACTGACATACATGACCAGTATAAGGAAAGACCAGTAGTAAGGTTTAAAGTCAAATGATGCTTGTATGATGTTAACTGCTTGGTACCAATTAGAGATTTTTTAATGTGTAAACTATATGTGATGTCATTTGGGGTATAAGACCTTCTGCCCTTTCCAGTTATGGCAGAACACGGCTTGGGACTGCTGAAGTGCTAAGGCACTCAGCCCCTGTATTCCCTGTTTCCATTGCAATAAACAGATTCATCTAACTCGTCAGACTCCGACTGTGTGATTCCAATTCAGCTAAGGGGTCACACAGGGCACAGATTTGTGCATGGCTCCCCACAGCTTCTTTATAGTTTTTTGCCCCCTGACACCAGGTGTTCTCTCAAACCCACTCAGAGAGCTCACTTGACAGAATTCTCCAGAGGTATTAACAGCCATTCTTGATCCATCCTTCCATCTAGTTACCCAGCTGAGAACAAGTCCTCACAATTAACAAATTATCATGTTCTTGAATCTGACCTTGAAAAGGATAAGGGTGATGTCAGCAGAAAGGTCTAATTACAAACACCTGCAAGCCAAAGCAGGCCTGCTAAGACTTGTTTTAATCTTTGAAGGAAGTCAGGGTGCTTTGCCTCACACCCCCCCCCCCCTTTCTGGAAGCTCAAATCTGTTATTACCATGGATGAACCTCTCTAGAAGAAAAGGAGGAAGAGGAGATTGGATTTATACCACACCCTTCACTTGGAGTCTCAGAGCAGCTTACAAACTCCTTTCCCTTCCCCTCCCCACAACAGACACCCTGTGAGGTAGGTGGGGCTGAGAGAGCTCTTTCAAGAACTGCTCTTCCAAGATCAGCTCTGACAGAACTATGGCTTGCCCAAGATCATCCAGCAATTGACCTTCCTTCCCCTGAGAGGAAAAGAACACTCACCACTGCAGGAATTACAATAATGTAGATGATATGGATCAACGCAACATCTCTCTAATGTCTTCCCAAAGCTCTTAGTGACATGCTATCTTGCATGTCATTAAGAGCTTTGGGAAGATATTATATTGCGTTGATCTATATTATCTACATCAAGGTCATCCAGCAGTTGCAAGTGGAGGAGTGGGGAATCAAACCTGATTCTTCCAGATAAGAGTCCATGCACTTAACCACTACACCAAAGTGCTGTACCACTACACCAAACTGGCTCTATAACTAGGCAAAGCAGCTATAATTGATATTTCTATTAAACAAGGTGTATTAATGATGTTTTGGCAGTAAGATCTAACAAGCAAGATCTAAAGCAGGACGTACATTCTGAAGCAGGAACTACCAGAAGGATCTTCCTGTAAGACTTACAGGCCCATTGAATGAAAAAGGGCTAGGTTTTATAGGAGGATGCACATCGATTTCACCGTTAATGAGTAATCAAATCTGACATGCCAGGCACATTAGAAAAAGGGGGTTGGAAACATTTCAGTGCTTGCTTTAATTCACTCTGCTATTGGGGAGCCAAAGTAGAAGCCATCTGCACACACTCTATGCCTTCAGTTTCCATCAGCCCATCCATCAAATTGGGCAAAGGAACCTTGTTCTCTTCCATGGTCTTTATAGAAAACATTTGTTCCACTCTCTGATAGACTTCACAGGTGTTACAACAGGTTTGCACACTTTTAGTTACAGCAGGATAAAATAAGGGATCCCATCCAAATACTAGCCAGGGCCAGCTCTGCTTAGGTTCCGAGACCTGATGAGATTGAGCTTGCCTGGGCTATCCAGGTCAGGGCCAAAATTACATTTGAAATCATTTCATCCACCTCATTTGCATAACAATCTTCCATATGGTTAGTTCCTGAGACTAAAGCACAATGATTCAGCAAGATTTCCATAGAGTGTAACAAATTAGAGAAACATCTTTTAGATCATGGATATCCTAACAATGTGTTGGTAAGTGTAAGGTGATGCACACTGGGGCAACACATCCGAACTTCATGTATAGGTTAATGGGGTCTAAGCTTGCTGAGACTGAGAGGGGGGAAGATCTTGGTGTTGCAGTGGATGGCTAAGTGAAAATGTCAACTTGGTGTGCTTGGTGAAAAAAGCAAACTCTTTATTAGGGATGTTTAGGAAGGGCATTGGGAATAAAACATCCAGTATTGTAATGACCCTACATAGATCTATGATGCAGCCTCATTTGGAATATTATGTACAGTTCTGATCATTGCATCTCAAAAAGGACATTGCAGAACTGGAAAAAGTACAGAGGAGGGCAACCAAGATGACTAAGGGCTTGGAGCATCTTCCCTATGAGGAAAGGCCGAAGAGTTGGAGACTTTTCAGTTTAGAAAAGAAACAACTATGGGGTGACATGATAGAGGTTTATAAAATTATGAATGGGGTAGAAAGAGTTGATAAAGATAAATTTTTCTCCCTCTCCCAAAATACTAGAACTTATTAAAGCTAATGTCCACTTCTCTGAGTCCAGTTTGAGTAAAACACTTTCCAGGGGAGCAGGCATGAGTGATGTGGGCTGACAATGTCACCCATGTGGGAGAAAATATGCTCATTCTGCATGCTTGTCAGAGAGCATGTCTCTGGGACATGGCAGAAGATCCTGCCAGACCATCTCTTTCATGGCCCAGCAGCTCAGTGGATTGGTGGTTTGCAGCTCATGGAGTTCAGCCAGGCACTCCCTCAGCATTATAGCTGTCATATCCTGCCTCTTGTCTCATGCCCCCAGAAGGGCCAAGTGCTCCATCTCCATCTCCAAGGTCTTCTCAGCAGTTGCTGTGCGGGGTATGCTGCCCAGCAAGGGGTGGGTGGGGGAGGAACAGCAGCAGAGCTGCTTTCACACACACCTGCTCACAGCAACATGCCCCTCTGAACTTCATTTGCCACATTGTCACCCACTAACCAAATTTGTGGAGGTCCTTTTGGAACTCATCACAGTCAGCCTTGGTCTTTACCATCCTGAATAGTTTTGTGTCTCTCTCCTGGCTTCTTTTTCCCAGTCCAGCTGGCTCATCCCTCCCACTTTCTTACCTGGCTATAAAGGCTAACAGAACTTCATTGAATTTCATGTGACCAAGTGAGCTTTGACTTACAAAAGCTTAAACCATGGGAAATTTTGTTGGTCTTTAAGGTGCTACTGCACTGTACTGTAATCTTAGTCTGCTACTACAGGCTAACACATATATCCAGCTGAAGCTAAACCCCAAAGGGAGATTTTATTCCCCTTTCTCCAGACAGGTTACCTCAGCAGGTTCAAGGCTTTTCTTTTACCATAGAGAACTCCTTTCCACAGAACCTGTACACACAATTTAGGAATGGAGGGCCATTAACAGGATACTTATTTATCACACTATAAAAAGCTTTCTTCTCCATGCTGAGCCCAAACCCTAACTAAAAGCCAAATAAAAGCCTAAGCTGATGTTTTGTTTTTTTCCAAAGTCACAATTCCCTGAGTAAAAAAAATATATATTTTCTTCACTCAACTTAAATTAAAGCTCACTCATCCTCTCCCATTCTGCGAAGTTCTATGGGCTTTGATTGGCTGACCAGCACTTGGATTTGCATGAGGTCTAAATCACAAGCAGGGCTATTTTGGGGCAGGAATGTTTGTTTTTTTCCAAAGTCACAATTCCCTGAGTAAAAAAAATATATATTTTCTTCACTCAACTTAAATTAAAGCTCACTCATCCTCTCCCATTCTGCGAAGTTCTATGGGCTTTGATTGGCTGACCAGCACTTGGATTTGCATGAGGTCTAAATCACAAGCAGGGCTATTTTGGGGCCGGAATGCACAAGAACGGAGTTCCAGCTGGCTTCAGAGTTGGCCATGCCCACTACAGCCAAAACCTCTGCGTGCGTGGCTACAGAGGGAAGGCCTGGAGACTGACCCACCCCAAAACTCCAAGGAGGGGGCAGGTCAGGGGGCCCCTGGAAGGATCGGGGAGGCATTTAAATGCCTCCCCGTGCCTTCCCTGGCCTGTCCAAGGCCGGCTTGCCCAGGCTCCCCGCAGCCTTCCAGGCAAGCCAAGGGAAGGCAGTTTAAACTGCCTTCCCTCCAAGGGCCGGCTTGCCCAGGCTCCCCGCAGCTGCGGGGTGCCTGGGCAAGCCAAGGGAAGGCATGGGGGTATGGCCTAATATGATAATGCGCTGCACTGTCAGGGGTATGGCCTAATATGCTAGTGAGTTTCTGCTGTTGGGTGTGGCCTATTATGCTAATGAGTCCCTGCTGGGCTTTTTCTACAAAAAGAGCCCTGAATTTGTTCGGAGCCCAGGAAGTGAGGTTGGACTTTTGAGGATGATTGCCACACCTTCAATTTACCATCCTTCAGCAAGTTGATTGAGGAGTGGCAGCTTTCTAGCTCCTAATTTTCTCAGATGAAGCAGATTACCTAGATCCATACCATCCTGGCTTTCAACCTGGCTTTGTTACCATACCTTTGTTGGTAATCTGCCTTAACTGATGACAACCTGCCCCTATTAATTGTTCTGAAACTCTCATTAGCATTGACCATGGTATCCTTGTCAATCATTGACTGAGATAGGATTTCAACATAATGTTCTGTGACGGTTCCAGTGCTTCGGGAGGGCAGAACCTAGAATACAGTGCTAGGAAATTCTCTTTCCCCTATCCTTTGCCTTGTGGGAATTCGCAGGCTTCTGTCTTGTTTCTTGTGCTGTCTAATGTCTACAGGAAATCAAGGGAAATTGGTTAAGAAATAATTAAACCAACTTCTAAAGAACACGGTGAACAAACTGAAACTTTTTCCAGAATAAAATCTCAGGGACTCAACTGACTTGGGTTGTTGTGTTCAATGCCATGAAAACTAAAGCCACATGTTGTTCTGCATTTAATAACAATGTGTTTATTGGTTTCTGAGACAGGGAAACAGACAAGAATACATACACTTTTCTCATGAACACCCATATGCCTACTCGTGTAAACTGTGAGTTATAGCTAGAGATTGGTGAAACCCCCCCCCCTTAGGTAGTCATTGATTCGTGAATTATGAGCACTACCATCAATTTATTCAGAGTTCTAAATGGGCACAATAAAAAATGAGACTCTGTACATGCATGGAACATGCACAGAACATATTACCTAAAGTCCATTTTTTGTCCTGGCTAGAGACATTAATTATAACACAAACAAAACTAAACAAACATCCCTGCAAAGTGATTTTTAAAGAAGACACTGAACTATGTGCAGGTCCAGGGAAGCTCCAGAGCCTCAGGGGTTAAAAAAAGAACCCATATATATTGTGAGCTTGTTTGACCAAAGCCTTGGAAGACCAAAGCCTATTTGCTGGTGGCTCATAAAATAGATTTTTGTTGTTTCCTCTTACAGTTTTCCAATAACTTTTAGTTCCTTAAGCTTTTTTAAGCTCATGGTCTTCCCTCCCCTCATAACATTGGTCCCCAAAACCTCTGCATAAAATACATTTGTGTTATGACCAAAAATAAAATCTACTGTGCCAAAATATCTTTATAAAGACTTCCTCATGAACTTGATGATTTTAGAGTACATGTTCTGGGGAGCATTGAGACCCCAGATGAAATCCCAGTGGTTCCAGTCAAAAATGTTACGATGGTAAAGGAGTTTTCTTATCCGAGGAAGTAAAACCTTTATATCTTCTGGGTCTGCCACCAAGTCGTTTCCTCCAGACCACACTGCAGTTGGCACTGCCATATCTTCAATTTTATATAAAGGAGGATTGGGCTAAAAAGTAAGTAATATAATGTAAATAATATATCTGAGGGTGGTTAGAAGAAGAAGAATAAGAGATTGGATTTATACCCCGCCCTTCCCTTGGAGTCTCAGAGCAGCTTACAAACTCCTTTCCCTTCCCCTCCCCACAACAGACACCTGTGAGGTGGGTGGGGCTGAGAGAGCTCTGACACAAACTGCTCTTTCAGGAACAGCTGTGCCAGAGCTTGTGACTGACCCAAGGACACATCAGCAGGTGCAAGTGGAGGAGGGGGGGATCAAACCCGGTTCTTCCAGATTAGAGTCCGCACACTGAACCACTACACCAAACTGGCTCTCAGTAAGAATTTCTTTCTGAATGAATGTGATATGATTCCAAGCTTCAGTGGTCTACTATCTTTTCTTTAGGGGGGAGTATAAAACAACTGTGGTCCATCAACATATTTTCAATTAACAATGCAAGAGTACACATTCGGAAACTTCTCTCAGTCTTTGTGTTGATTTTCTTAACATGATTGCTCAAAACTGTTCTATAATTTTGGGTGCTTTGTTGAGCAATGTAGAGAAAAGATCAATTGATATGAAAAAACCCAAGTTATGCCTACAGATTTGACAAGGATTTGTGTGTGCTTGTGTGGCAGGATGCATGTTTTGTAGATAAGTGTTATGTCCACTGACTGCCACCAGGGGCCAGCGAATACTCCTGAGCTTGACTTTGTAAGAACAATGGGGACTAGGCTCCTAGTCTCTTCACTGGGGAACCAATAGGACCGTGGTGGGAGATTTAAACCCACCAATCGGACCTAGGGGAGTGTCCCCCGGTGTGTATATAGTTGGCTGGCCGGCCAGTAGTCTTTGTCTTTGTTGTGTACCAGTAAACCATGCTGATCACTACATCCATATTAGTGGTTTCTACATGTGTCTAAGCCACTACACTTCAAAAAGACTAAGGTGAACTTATGCTAAATGATCCTTTGACAACTAAGACAGGAAATCCTCAGGCAATTATGTCCATGCAAAGCCATTCATATCCCATGAATATATTGAAGACATTTTTAGAAAGAGACTGGGCATGATCCAGCTGAAGTTAAAATGTGTTAAACTCCACAGATTCCAGTGTAGAAGATTTACGGAGAAATCTTAAGCCCAGACTCTGAATGGGTCAGGGTAACACCTAAGCTATTTACCAGTATATCATGAAGATTTGCTGGCATATCCCAAAGAGACATGGGTCTGTCTGGAGATGTGAAGGTGCAAGAGTATCTAGTGTGCCAACAATGAATAAAGTTTAACTTGACCACCCACAGAGAGTTTAGTGATTTCAGGGGTGGGTTGTGGATAGAATGGGGCTTATTTGGCTTTCAAAATCAATAGAGCACTATTCATACCACATAAGAGTACAGTGAATTCATAAGGTCTTTCTACTGCCCTATAAATAATAATAATAAAATTCAATAGGGCAGTATGGAGACCTTTCCAGGAGTGGCAGCCCTTCCTCTGTATTCACCACAGCTTGAGAAGATGACAGGCAGCATGGCACCATATCCCTTAGGGGCTGGAGATGAGCCATGGTCTCCACTCTCCCCACACAGGCTGGAAACAGCCATGGCTGGCCCTGCCAAAGCTCTGAGCAAGGTGTGGCAGCTCTGGGCCCAGTTAGGACAAACAGCCACACTGGAAGGAGTGTTGCATCACTTGAACAGCCCTGCCTAGGGTTGCCCTCACTAGGGTTGCCAACTGGCACTTACCCTTCTGGCGGGGGACTCCAGTTTGGCTCCCGGCATGCGCGCGCAAAGCGCACGCGCGCCACATGCATGTCACAGGAAAGTGACGTCATGATGCCAGGCACGTTGGGGGCGGGGCCACGACCATACAAGGGAAAATCATAGAGTTTTCCCTTGTATGGCCGTGGCCCCGCCCCCAGCGTGCCTGATGTCATGACGTCCCTTCCCTGTGATGTGCACGCTGGGGCGGGGTTCCCCCCGGGGCCCGATTCCCTGGCATCGGGGAATGGGCCTCTGGGGGGGGTGTTCCGCCCCCCGGAGGGATTTGGCAGCCCTAGGCCTCACCCAGCCTGAGTGGCTGGACTGGCTCAGATGATGGCCCATGGGGCCTTGCCCTCCACAGAGCCAGGGAGACCAGAAGAGACAGCCTCAAAAAGGGTTGGTAGAAGGTGGAGCTAAGGGGGAGAGGGCCCATGGCGGATAGCCATTGAGGAAAGTCTTGACAGCCCAACAGTGTCCTGCCCCAGCTTCAAGGGGATCAGGGCAGGCTGGGGTAAGATGGCTGCTGCCAGGAAGCCCTTTGTTTGTTTGTTTACTATCTTCACTGTTTTTGCAACTGGAGTCATAAACAGCAAATCCTCATCCCACAATAAACCCTGTTCCACATAAAAACATGGAAGATTTTAAGGGTTGCTACTGCAAAAGTTGTCATGTGATTTGACAACAACTGCTAGAAAATTTGCCACATGCGGAGTAGTTTGTTTGTGTTCCCCCAGCCCCATGTGCAATGGCCCCACCCTGCTCACAAAAGGACCTTTTAAAGGGTCTTTTTGTGAACTTAGTGTGCGGCCCACGACCTCCCCTCTGCCTCCCTCCCTCCAGCTATATTTAAAGGGCCCTCCAGCTGGTCGGGGGGGCACATGGTCCCCACAGATCAGCTGAAGCCCTTTAAATTGGGCTGGAGGGGAGGGAGACGGGTGGCGTGTGGGTGGTCACTCTTGGGGGCAGGGCTTAGGGTGGGGCTTGGGGCATCCCTGCTTACCCTGGAACGCCCCCCAATCCCCCTGTTGGAGTGACAAGGGGACCCGGCAACCCTTGCCAGGCCTCTCCTATGCTGCTGAGAGACAAGAAGATGGCAGGAGAGAGAGAGGGCCCTGGGGTGCAGTGAATCGATCTCCTCTCCATATTCTGAGACCTGCACCATTGCTGCAGGGTATTTTTAGGGCATGATGGCTCTAGACCCTGTCTGGAGGAGGAGTCAGACAAGACCATATAAAGGTACAGCTGAACTAATTGTACCTAACATGGTCTTCATAGTGCCCAATTATTTTTCCTGTCTTGCCTCACACCACACTTTCCACAATTAGATTTTTTGTAACTCTTACCATGTCAATCTATCAGCAACTGGAAGTGGTCCCCACCCACCCTGAGTGGACTGATAACCCTTCGACTGGTTGTTTTTTTACACTGGCCTTTCTTTGTAACAACCCTCATTACACAATGCACTGTAACAAAATGATGCTTATAATGTCAAGTATAAATACAGCTGCTATTCATGGACACTCCATAGCATCTGATTGAGCCATATTTTCCAGGCTGCCTCTTATTATTGCAGTTTGTAAAAAAATATTTTATGCAAGTATTAAATGGGCATTTTTGGCAGGCTCTCATACCCAAACAAGTTACAGGGTTTTTTTTGTTTTTGTTTTTTGGGGTTGTGTGTGTGTGTTTTTTTGTTTTGTTTTTAGCGGTCCCCAGTCCTCTACTGAGGTGGTGACTGCATTGATTCCCACCATTTTTTTTCCTTAGCTACATACAGGAGAAAATGCAAGCATTATTTGCTGTAAAGCAGTCTGTATCCCCCCAGTGGCCCACACTCTCACCAGTGCTAAATAAATATTTTCAATGTACCTTCTACTTATTTTGAAAATACTGTGCTTCTCATAAAAAAAATTAAAATGTTGTGCAGCTAGGAAGGTCTGGGCTTTATGTTAGATTGTATGGAATGTTTAATTGACAATTGGTTATTTTGTATTGTATATATTTATATTGTATAGATTTAAGGATTTTTCTCTTTGTAGCTAATGGGATTAATGATATCTTTTTCTTGCAACTTTTGTAAAGCTTGTAAAGCTTCTAATCACATAAATAAAGGAATATTTACAAAAAGAACAAAGAAAATTTTGTCTCTTACCTGATTATATTTTGCTTGATTCTCACTCCCATAGTCGAAATATCTGAATAAATCTGAGTTTCCCACCTATTGAAAAAGTTGGTGGAAACATAACATGTGCCATCATGTGATACATATTTCTGAATATCATGAAGGAAAAGAACGTTCTAGGATCATTATAGAAAATCCAAAAGTAAAAAAACATATCAAAGTTACAGCAAGGTCAGACATGTATCAAGGCTGGAAGATGGACCCCTATCCTGACGCAGCCAATCTGGCCACCTAGATCTATGTCATAGCAACAGGGAGACTAGACAACTGTAACATATTGTAATAGGTCTCCCCACAACCTCAACTCAGACTCCAAGTGGTACAGAATGCCACAGCTTGGTTATTACCAGGACCTAGGTGGAGCATGCGTATTATGCCCATTCTGTAGTCACTCTAGTGGCTGCCCATCAGTTACCAGGCTCAGTTCAAGATATTGATTATCACATACAAAGCCTTTTATGGCCTTGGTCCCTCATATCTGCAGGATCACCCCTATACTCTGTCATGATAGCTCTGCTCTTCAGAACAGGATCTCCTGTAGATGCCACCCTGCAAATGGTGAAAAATCAACACCTGCCCATACACGTGCATTCTCTCCATTGTGACACCCACCTTATGGAATGGCCTGCTTGATGAGGTCAAGAAGGCTGTCACCCTCTTGACTTAGTGCAAACTATGCAAAACTGAATTATTCAGAAAGGCCTTTTTTTTTTTGCACAGGAGTTTTGGGCTGCACAGTAACAAAATGTTTCAGAAAGATCCTTTGGTAAAGGAACAGGGACTATAGACTGCTACTGTGTATAGCAGGGGTGGCCAAACTTGCTTCATGTAAGATCCTTTGGTAAAGGAACAGGGACTATAGACTGCTACTGTGTATAGCAGGGGTGGCCAAACTTGCTTCATGTAAGAGCCACATAGACTAAATGTCAGATGCTTGTGAGCCCCAAGGTGACTTCAGAGGAAGGGGTGGTTTTTGGTGCAGGATATGACATAATCGGAAGGGGTGGAGCTTAAAAAGTGCCATCACCTGACCTTTGACCTGGAAGTGATATCACTGGGCACAATGGCACAAAGTGACATCACATCCTTGCTAGGTGCCACCTCCAAAGTCTCCTGTCTCCACCCCCGAAGTCCTCAGGTGGTAAAAACAAGAACACAAAATTGGTAAAAACAGATATTGCTAATGATATCTATTCTAGTATCTGGTCCCCTCCATATGCTGGCAGCACCCATCTCTCTCTCCCTCCAGATCTCCTTTGGAAGCAGCAGGAAAAAAACCTGGAAGAATATCCACACCATTAAACCTAAGTTTGCTTTCAACATATAAGTTTGACTGAACACATACTTATAAAAATATTTTTCATCCAAGAACCTTTCATTCAATAGTAAGTAGTCTTGGCATCCCATTGGAACTGAACAAGCTATTTCTCTGTTACACATTTGATTAAGGGTATTTGCAATTAAGCTGGCCACCTTTCTCTGATGGAATAATAGCACTTGGTATTTATATTTCCCATTTATTTATTTGGATATTAATATCCTATTTTTATGAAGTACCTATCAAATCTATTAAAATATTTATATCCCTTTCTTCTCCAGAGAGTCAAAGTAATTAACAATATGGCAGAAAGAATATAATAAAAAACATAACCAACATCAATACAGGTATAACCAGCCAATGATAAGTTCATTTTCTTTGTAATGCAGCCCTCAACATCAGACACAAAGAACAGTGACAAAGCCCACTGAGAGAAGATGGCCTTGCACATCATCCTAAAAATAGGTAAGCAAGGGTATCTGCTGAAGATGATAAAAGGCTGACCAGGCAACTGTGGGCTGGTGGGGTGGGGTGGATAGTGGAAAATGCAGCCTCTTGCATGCCGACTGGTGCTGGATGTTATGATCCTATCCAGCCTTATTCCCAGCAGCAACATTGACAAGTAATTCTAAATTTGATTCAAGTGTTAGTTTTAACCCTTAAAGCCTGTGAATGCCTTCATTAACTCTGAGTGCTAGAGTAGCAGTTTGCAATTGATTTAAATATATAGAAGCTCAAGCAACTTTAATTGATGCCAAAAACTGCTCCCCTCAAAGGTCTGGTATTCTAGTAACCTGGAGAAAAAGTGAGTCCATCTTAAGCTGGGGAGACTGAGACAGAGGCAGCAGCCACTTTAAAACAACATCAGGGAAGAGCTGGTGGCCTTTAAAGACATGCCTGTCTGGCTGTGAGTCAGAAGGCTTTACAGCGCTGGCGAGATCGAGCCAGGTGGCCAAATGAGAAGGCCCCAGGACCCAGCATGCTTCCTTGTCTCCATGGTAAAGCAATTGGACCCAGCTTCCCCTTCTCAGCACGGGAGGCATTTTCTGCTGGCTGCTGGTGTCATGTGACCTGTGCCATATGACAGGTCAAATGACACCAGCAGGGAGGTCAGCTCCCTGGCCTGGCATGGGGGTGCGCCACTCTTATTTTTGTGGGGGGGGGCGTTGTGATGGGGGTGCTACCTGCTGCACTCCCCTGCTGGCTACACCCCTGGGCATATTGAGTGAAAATGATCAACTGAAGCTTTTCATAATGGGAAGTTAATAACATCACCTGGTCAATCATATCCTATTAAGCCTCTAGCAAACGCACAGGACGTTTCTTTTTTCTCCGGGTTGTTGGCAACCCTGCACAGAATAAACTTTGATAGTGCAGCCATAGTAGTAAAAGGGGTATTCAGCCAATATCAGTGTTTAACTTTTTGACCACAATAACTAACTAAAAATATAGCAAACTGTACCTGATGCCAGTGTAACACATTTTTAACAGAGTTACCACCAGGAAATCGAGCTGCATATACATCCATTCGACTCTACAGAGGAAGATCAAAAAGAAACTTAAAAGATAACTATGAGTGGGAAAATGCAATTGAAGTGAAACAGTTTATTGCAGTTTTGCACTTAAAATAACATTATCTGAGAAACACTAATGGTGAGGCAGAGTGGAACCAAACATCCCATGTTTTAACCTTCCCCGCATCTTTAAACATTATTGAACACCTATTTAAAAACACAGACATAGCTAGGGCAGGACAATAGATGCAATGTGTGGAAATAGCATGAAGCTTTTCATGGCATAGAGGTAAATGATTTTTCTGGTAAATAACATCCCACTGAACCTCCCTTGAAGGGATAGGAAAATATAGATTTCTAGTCAGCATGGCCCAGTTCTTGGGGTGTCAGACAAGGACTTAGGAGGCCCAAGTTCATATTGGTTCTGTGCGATCTTTATGGACTTGGTGGCTGATAATGGAGATCGGGGGCACCACATTTCAGTGGTTCCTCTCTTCTTTGGTCAACATAGTCACCTTACATTACAGCTTCAGAAGTGCATTTGATTGTATCTCTGTTACATAATGCCCCCCAACTTATCTTGCATAATTAAGCACAGCTACAGTCGGATCAGAGCAAAGGTCATATAGGAACAGTATGGCTATCAATGAACCTACCAGCACCAAAAAAAGGGAGAATACCCCTTGACTAACAATGGCAGAGTTCAGACTGGCAGTTTGGCCTGATATAGGAACGTTTCACAAATGGATTAAAGGGGCCAGTTCACACAGGCACAGCTGTCAGGCATTCCCTAGCTGTACTCAACCCGTCCTATGATTATTCCCTACCGCATTAAAAAAGTACCAGGTGAAAGTGGTAGCAAACCCTGGAGAGTGCGTTGATCCCACTTTCTAAAAGCTTGAGAAATAGGTGCATGCTAAAAGCTTGAGAAATAGGCGCACGTCGCCGGAGTAAAGCAAAGCCACTTACAGCCGTGCCTATGCCAGGGGCGGGCCAACAGTGCGAACGCTCCCTTGTGCCTCCTCCCCGATATTAGTAGGTGCAGTGCGACTGGGAATCCCTAGCACAACTTGGTCCGGGTCTTTTTGCCTCGCCTCCCTCCCGCTTCATACTGCCAGTCTGTCCTCAGCCAATGAAACTGCCAGTACCCAACAAGGAAAAATACCCCTTGCCTAAACCACAGGGATATACTCTTTCTCCCTGCCCCCCCACACACTATGAAGGCAGTAGGAGAACTTAGATTTCATTCATGTCAGCATGCAATCACATCTTATTTACTACACACTCCATGACCTTGTAATGTTCATCAATTGATCCTTGACTCACAAAGCAAAGAAAGAGAAGACCGAAAAAAGCACCCAAAATAACAGCAGAGCACTAAAGAGGCACAAAACAGCCCTGCAAAAGATCACTTAAATATCTAAAGAACTTTTTATTCCATTTGATGTCCAATTCCCCCCAGAAAATAAAATAACATAACAAATTAATACCATATGTAAGAACAAACCTCTGTGCAACTATTATATTCTGCTACACACCATATTTAAATTCGTGGCGTTGAATCCACTTGGAGAAAACAGCAAATGGGCATATATGTGCTTCATGAATGCATTGTTGCATAGCCTGATGATAAGCTTTCTCATTGGCGCATTCCAAATAACCACATCTTTGGTGTCAAATAGTCCCTGTAGAAATATATTAGGCATACTTTACATCAAACTCCTTGCAAGACTAGTTGTGCACACTTTAAAGACTTCCTTTGCCCTGTCGCTATTTCTTAAATCTGTCCCACCTAGTATATGACACAGAAAATTGTCTCAGGGGCTAAAGTTTAGCCCAGAGACTCAATAAAGTATTTGAATCTTGTTTCCAGAAAGGCTGCAAAGCTTAGTAGTGCTCTTGAACAGACCCCATTCCTTTTAATGAGGCTTGCGCAGAATAACTTTTAATGGATTTTGCCAGTCTTTTGATCAGCTTATTTTTAGAGTTCCCACTGAATTGTGCCAAAAGCACAATTTGAAGCAAAGCTGAGGTTTCTGTGCTTCCAAGAAATCTTGAGTAAAAATAAAACAAATTTGGTAATATTGAAAGAATTCCTCAGGAGCGTTCTGTACCTATCCATGAACTGAAAATAATCTCCCTTTATTGTTGGGAGGGTAGGGTTAAGAAAGCATTGTCCATATATTTACAATACTCTTGAATAGTAGCTCAGATCATTCTTATCTGGAAAGAAGTTCCCAGTCTCAAAGCATCTGGTGAGGTGGACCTCACATGCACCTATTTACGTACATATGCATGTGTAAAGTCACAAGCAATTTATGGTGACCCCAAGCAAGGGGCTTTCAAGGCAAGTGAGAAGCAGAGGTGGTTTGCCATTGTCTTCCTCTGCAGAGTCTTCCTTGGTGGTCTCCCTTCCAAGTACTGACCCTGCTTAGCTTCCAAGATCTGATGAGATCAGGCTACACCATGGCTTTTATTAAATGAGGAGTACTTAAATTGGAGAAGACATGGGCTTGATGACTTTCGTCTGCACCTTTGAAGATACCCTCAGAAGCACCTAATGTAGATGAGATAAGGTTCTGGGAGCTTTGCAGTGCCAGCCTAAGTAGAGTTACTCCCAACTAAGCCAATTGACTTCAATTGACTTAGAAGGGTATAACACTGCTGGTCCGGGGAGAACCAGGGAGAAAGAGTTCCAGTGGAATGTCTACAGAGTAAAAGGAAGAATTCTCATTTTAAGATCAAGAACCTCTGGGCACATGCAGAGTGCACTGCCTTCAGTGTTGAATGACAGCTATCAGACTCTGAGGAGAGGCTCCTTTGGAATGTCCTCCAGCAATGCTGTGCTTTCCATTCAAAGGGTGCAGACCACAGGTTTGGAATTGAGGATTCTCGGGTTTGCAACAGCTTTATATTCCTTTCATTCCAGCAGTTTCAAAAGAGAGTCAATACCTTGATGGAGTTTTCAGAAAGGGAGAATAATAACTTTATTGTAGGGCTTGGAGTATGCTTAAGAGAAACCACAGGTGCCAAGGCAAAAAACATTTTGATTTTTCGAGACAGCTCTGGCATGGCAGAAAATGCTATGAAACCTGGGGGGGAAAGGATAGCAGGCTTTAAGATCTGTTAATAAGTATGTTGAAGTTTGGCGAAATCTATTCAAAAATGTACCTAATGGGTAAAATGTCATTAGGTAAGGTTACCATCTGGCTGGAAGAGGGATATGCTTTGGTTCTGGACCAGCTACTATACTAGCAAAAAGCAAGTAAGTTTTTTCTTCAGATTTTTAAAAGCTGTACACTTTAGGGAACAAATAGTTTTCTATCATAGTTTCTGCCCTTGGAATAGCTAAAAACTGCAGGGCTCTGCACTGGGACTTCACTCTCAGATTCATTCTGGACTTTGCCTGCTTGGGTATGCTATTTTATTTCAGGTACCAACAACCCTACACGGCAGTTAAAACATAAGCTGAGCATCTGTTTAATGAGGGAAAATCTTAGAGAACAGAATCGATGCATTCAGTCCAGAGCAGATCTTGAGATCAAACATGGGAAAGCTACTGTCATTCTCTCTCTCTCTCTCTCTCTCTCTCTCTCTCTCTCTCTCTCTCCCCCCCCCCCCATGCTCTTTTGAAGCAGAAGCTGCTTGCGCTTGCCCTTCAAGAGATGATCTTGTGGCTCACAGAGCAGGCAGCAAAGACTTGCAGGGCAGGCACAGGCAGTTCCCACTTTCCTACAACCATTCTCTTTAAATGGTTAGAGGAAAGCGGGGGGGGGAGCATACACACAAGGCGCAGCATCCCTGACAGGATGATGGAACTCTGTATGATGTCATCACGTTGGGGCAGCCCCTCCCCCTCCCAGCACCCCCCCCCCAATTCCCCCACTGGAGGGATAATACAACCTGGCAACTCTAGGCCCAGTGAACCAATGATGCAGAAATACAGGACAGGATTTCAGAACAAGGATGTCTATGTTATTCTATTTTAGCTTACCAATAGAAGCACCTTGAGAATAGCCAACATAGTACAATTCCTTCTGCTGGGTTTTCTGTAGAATAAAGTTTATTACTGCTGGAAGGTCATACATGGCCATTTCATGGAAACTGTAATAAAAATAAACAATACCTGGATGTTAGTACAGTGTAAGAAGATGGGTTCATCCTAGACTTGTGTGTTTCTTTTGGTTTTAATTACAATAATTAAATAACTAGGGAAAAGGCTCATTGTGGAAAGAGGCTCTGGGCGGGTGCCCCGGCCTTGGACACTCAGTGTCAATTTGCTGTGGTGACCTCAGCAGGGTATAATGACACTGAGTTCACCATTTTCACCAGAGGAACTGATCTCTGCTACCTCAAGAACAGTTGTAATTTTGAGTGATCTCCAGCCCTCACCTGGAGATTGGCAACGATGGTTCCCCAGAAGGAAATTGTTGGTTTGGAGGGTGGAGTCTATGGCTTTGTACCTGTCCGAGGTCCCACGCCTCCTGAAACCTCACTCTCTCCAGGTTCTATCCCCCATATCTCCAGGAATTTCCCACCTGGAGTTGGGAACCCTATCTCCTGCCCAGCCAATCCTCAACCTACCTTTATTTCCCCCTCACTCTTCACCTTTCCACCTTTCCACCCCCCACACACCTGCAGCCTCTCCCGTGCTCTGAAGTCCTGACTGCTACGTCACATTGGCTGTCATACGGGGGCCACCTCAGCAGCATATAAGGATACAGAGCCCACCATTTTCTTCAGGGGAACTGATCTCTGCCATCTGGAAAGCAGTTGTAATTCGGAGGGATCTCCAGCCCTCACCAGGAGATTGGACACATTTTACCTCAGAACAGCAAACTGTTTTGAATGTTAGAGGCAAAAGCCAATCAAGTTGCATATGCAAACGACCTCTGTGTTCCGAGGCAAAGGCCAATGAGGCTGCATATGCAAATAACCTCTGTGTTCTGACTGGCTATGGGGGGGAGAGGAACAGCAAACTGTTTAGAATGTTGGAGGCGAGACTCAAGCAATGCAGCCAATGGATAGGGGCAGATTCTGAGTGACACACCAGGACGCCAACCAATTCCGGAGCATATGGAATGTTCTAGAGAAGTGCCATCACCATCTGGCTTTTATATATAAGGGAGATAGGGTGTTTTGTAATTATAGTACTTAAAATGAAGATGAAACAAATTTCCCATTTAAACAGCTTATAATGGAGGGAAAACCCCATGATTTTCTTTAGCTTTGTTCTGTTTCTTTGATTATTGCAGTCTTTGCCCCTCCCCAACTCAACTGGTTTCACTTTTACAAGGCCACCACTGTTTTCCTAGTAGAGACATAAACTGTGTTCCTTGAGAGGTGGCACTCTAGGCTTTCTTGGCTGTCTGCAAGCTATAGCCACTAGGATTACATATATGTGTTTGGTATTCCAATCTGGAAGACTGTGGGGTAGGAGTTGCTCCTCCCAATGCCTGTCCTGCTGTTCCAAACTTTCTCTTGCAGTCTGTGTTCCCTGGCTTGCCCAGTGGTCTCCAGCCCTTAACCTCAGCCATGCAAATCTCCCACATGGTCCTCTTGCTGTGCCCTGCTTATCCAGATGTCTTGCTTTCCTTGTGCCATAAAAGGCCCTTGCCTTGTCAGTCTGCCTCTTCTTCATGCTGCTGTTCTTGAGGTTAAGCAGCCTCAGTGCCAAATCCACCCACTGCACGCTGCTGTCTGTGTTACTGTTTGTTTGGAATCTGTCCTACCAATTGTCCCATAAGACTTAATGCTAAACATGGTTGCCTTTCATTGCCTCAAAAGGGGGACCCCTTTATTATATCTGTCTGAAGTCAGGTAGTGTGGAAGTCCTAGGGGAGTGTACTGTGTCATGAACATTGCATGAATGTTAATTCAGTACAAGAGAGAATTCTGCTATAAGCAGCAGGCTATTTGAGTCAAATGAGATTGCTAATTTCATTAGAGAACTCTTTCCTCATGTGAAATGTGGCTGTTTTAAAATCAATACACTTGATTTGGAGAAAGTTAAGTATTTTGTCCCACCTATTTTAATGGGAGCACATGCCTAAATATCTCCTACAGAAATAAATGAGAATCAGTAATATAGGAAAACAAATGGAGGACCTATGAAAACGTGCAGTGGTGGAGAAATCCCTTCATCTCCCCTCCCCCCAGCCCTCTAATCACACTGGTTCTGTTCCCCACCCCCTGCTGGCTGCAGGTTTTTCCCACCTTGTCCTTTATTTTGGAGTGTTCAAGTTTCTGCTCCCCCCTTGTTGCCTACTACTTCCTTCCCTCTTCCAACACAAAAGGAGCCCTGGTTGGCAAATGGCTGAAAGGACACTGTGTTTTCCCTTCTCCTGAGTGGCCAATGCATAGAAGGAGAAATTGGGCTGAGAGAGTGTGCATCTCCTCTGAGTCCAGATTCATTCCTTCCATTTTTTTTTGTTGAGGGCAAAGCCTTTGGTTCCTCTTTGGAGTGGTCACTGGACTGCTGTAATGCAGGGGTTAGAATGATGGACTTTAATCAGGGATGCTGAATGATTTCCTCATCCATGAACTTCACTGAGTGATTCTGGGCCAGCTATTTCTCAAAACCTAATCTAGTGCACAGGGCTGTTGTGATGACAAAATGCTCTGTGACCTTTGGAAGATTAAAATGAGATAGGTAATATACAGCAAGAAGAGTTTCTCCTGGCAATCCCACAAGATCCCATGACTGTTTTCCCTAAAGCTGTGAGAATCAATAGGTTTTAATTGCAGGTTGACAGGCTTTGTAATTTCAGCTACGTGATTTGCATTCACAATAGTACTATATCACAACTATCTGTTTGGGTAATGCCACGTACTTTCTAACAGTGACCCGTAAAGGTAAAAGATATTTTAAATTGTGACTTATTCAGTTCAAACCACCTGAAGTCCCAGAATTCCTCTTGGTCAGTTGAATAATTCTGGTGTTTCTGAGACCAACTTGATCCTCTGCTGTTGGCTAGCCAAACATCATAGCCAGCATCTGCCAATATGAAACCGAAGCTGTTGTCGGCCATATTTTCAACCCAATAGCTACCATCTCCAAATATTCCATGTTGCAGTAGTATAACAGGCTTTGGACCTACTTTACAGCAAAGAGACAGAGAGAGATTTCTTTGAAAAAGATGAGAATTTCTACTTCATGACATGAAATCCCCCCCATACTTAACATGCTAGAATTTCTCCCTAGTATCAAAACTCACAGTTTGCATTAACACATTCATATGCCCCATAACTGAAAGTCTATATGAAATTTCCAGAGAGTTAGGATGACAACCCCGGGATACTGTTAAGTAAATTATACATATTTATTTTATTTCCCAGATCAACTTCAGAATTCAACTAACAAGTGCTACCAAAAGAACATCACTACCTTTCCAGTGCCTAGCCTGAGGAATGCATATTCCACATGGTCTTAATGATAGCTTTGATTTAAAATAGCTGGCTGGATGCCATGAAGGTCTCTGTTGAGAGAGAGAACCTCTGGCTGTTTTGAACTGGTCAAACTTAGGTTCCAAGCCTACAAGTTCCAAACTAGTGAAAATTTGGAACAGAAGGACAGGGATTCTAAAAGCTTTAGCAGTTGCCAATCCTTGCATTAACATTTTTTTATAGTTCTTAAACTTTTCCTTCTTCTTTGATAGCCTAGAACTATTTTCCATACTTAAAAAAATGGAATACCTCCATTTTTAAGATTTTTTCTTCCACAGGGAATTCTGTTTATTGTCAAATAATAAGCATCATCTGTTAAGACTTCATACTCCTCACTGGGGTATCCTCGGAAGGAAATAACTTGACTCTGAAAGGAAAAAAAACTAAGATCATGCAGAAAATTGGAAAATGTTTTAAAGAAAAAAAAACTAAACTCTTGAAATCATGCAGAAAATTGGAAAATGTTTTAATGTATCTGGCAGACAGAAGATACTGAAGCAGGAAATGCAGAGGTTAATTATTTGTACTGTGTTTTAATACTAGGTAAAGCTTGGAGCTGCGGTGGCTCAAGTGGTTAAGACGCTGAACTGCAGGCTGTGGAAGGTCAGTAGTTCAGCAGTTCGAGACCCGAGTTGCCCCATGACGGAGTGAGCTCCCATCTCTAGTTCTAGCTCCTGCCAACCTAACAGTTCGAAAGCAAGAAATTGCAAGTAGATAAATAGGTACCACTTCGGTGGGAAGGTAACAGCGTTCCATGCACCTTGGTGTTTAGTCATGCCGGTCACATGACCACGGAAACGTCTTCGGATAGCGCTGGCTCTTCGGCTTTGAAACGGAGATGAGCACCACAACCCTAGAGCCGGACTTGACTGGCTTTCGAGCAAGGGAACCTTTACCTTTACCTTTTTAAACTTATGCTTAACTATCCAACTAAACAGAAAATACGGAACAGAAAACATTAGTGTTTACAGAAATGGTCAACAGAAACTACACTAGTACATAGTGTTGGGAATCTCTGAGTATCTTTTAACATTATACATCATAGAAAATACAAAAAGAAGGTCCTACTCTTCGATTTTGCATCCTTCATACTCTCAATATCACCACCCTTGAGAACTGAGGTAGAGGTATATCTGGACTCCTTGGTTCCATTTTGTTTAATGAGGATATGAGAACACAGCTGACAGTTTGCTCTGGCTTTTTTTAATTCAGGCACTTTCATTCCCCCCCAGATCAGTGATCCCAGTGCAAGTACAAGCTGTACATATCCTCTTCCTACTCCCTTCCTTTCTCAATCAACCCCAGAACAGGGTGAGACAATCTCACCACACAGCTCCTATAAGGAGTTCCATCATCCACCGGAGCCTTTCCAAGGTTGTAGGACATTGGTAGTGTTCAGGACTGGTTATCTGATTACTGATCACAAGTGAGAGCCATTCCCTTGCCTGTCCTCTCCCATTAGGCTTACCAGGTTACTTCCTGCACCCACTGGCTCTCCCAGTGGCTTCCTCTCTCTCTCTCCCTTTCTTACAGTGGGAGAAAATGTGGGTGGGATGATGGTGCAGGTGAAAAGATGTCACTCCCAGTCGCTATGTTCATGATGCTATACCAATTTCCCCAGTCTTCATGGGAGATTGGGAGATTCCTATGGGAGACTGGGATATTCCTAGAGTGTTGGGGTGGTGATATTAATGCTGGGTGATAACCTGGGAGTGACATCACTGCATCAGCAGCACTCCCCCTCCCCATGCCCTGCCTCCAAATGCTCCAGAGGGTTGCTAGCCCAGGGCTGCCAATCCTCTCTCCCATGGAGTTCTTATTCTTGCCTGTGTCTGGCATTCTCTTCCTGCATTCTCCTCTCCCTTCTCATCTTATTATTATGGCCTGCCAGGTCAATGCATCATTTCCTGGCTGCCTTGCAGTCTGCTGCATGCTGAAGGTCATGGCCAATCCAAAACAGTATGAGCTCAAGGACTGGAAAGATTGTTGACAGCCAAAACAAACGTTATGTATATATCCTTTTTCTTTTCTATTCAAAGTTTCCCCCCCTCCCCAGTTCATCAGTGTCCAAACTTTCACATCATTTCCTGGCTGCCTTGCAGTCTGCTGCATGCTGAAGGTCATGGCCAATCCAAAACAGTATGAGCTCAAGGACTGGGAAGATTGTTGACAGCCAAAACAAACATTATGTATATATCCGTTGTCTTTTCTATTCAAAGTTGCCCCCCCTTCCCCAGTTCATCAGTGTCCAAACTTTCATTGTTATAGACTCTAGAGGAAACCAAAAGAGTGCATCTTGTGTTCTGCTCCTTCAAATTAAATATGTATCCCAGCCCCAGTTCAGACCCCCCCCTTCTATTCTACTGTATCTAAAATATTTATTAGACTATTTAGCTTACAACATTCATATAAATTTCAGGATTCCCATCTCTTCTGCTCCTGGTGAGTTCTTCTGAGCTTACAGTTGTTTGTATTAGGCATGCTATTGCAAAAAACCACCGCATCTTACTTCTGTAAAACAATTGGGTGTGGGGAGAAAACAGGAAAAAGCTAATATCAACATTTTCATAGCTAACAGTAAAAAAATGTTCCTCTCTAGATCAAAAGCTGAACTTGTACTCCTGTATAACCAAGGATTGCAATATTGGGTTAAAAATGAATTTGCAGACTACACAGACTCTGCTCGCATGATTTGAATGTGTACTGGCACTCCAAAAAGTACCATTAGCCTCTGAATCTGGAAGGTCTGGGTTTTAAATTTCTATAAGTGTAGCTTCAAAAGGTCATGGTACAGGTCAAACTTTCACTGATAAAAGAAAACACCCCCCTTCATTTCCCCTAGTGCCGCTATGATTGAATCTGTGTGCCCATGTTAAGTCAAGTCACTTGCCACTTATGACAACCTATGAATTAATGACCTCCAAAACATCCGCTCATTAACACAGATTGAGTCCAGGACCTGCATATACATTACAAATAGTGCAATATGGCAACTTAATATGTCCTGCCAGTCTCACAAAATAATCATTCTAGTCTTCAATAGCATGAAAATGTAAGACATTTTCATGTGTGTGGGAAACGCAATCAGAGGGAGCAGACGACACTTGCATATTCTCTGTCATTGCTTCTTTAACTCATCACAGCCTTCCTTCAGAGGCTGAATCTGCATTTGTCTTTCCCACTGGTGTCCCAGCCTTTTGACTCCGTCTTCAAAAAGGCTGTCTACATTTGGTGTCGTTTTCACACCTCAAGAGTGCTAGCATACTTTTGCACATCCACATATGTTTATTGTCCTTTCGGGGTGACTCCACTGTTATTGCACCTCTGCACTGCTTTAAAAGAATTTTCTCCAAACAACATTCAAACAAGGGAGTGTGTGGGAGAGCACAGTGCCTGTGGTCGCCTGAGAGCTGAGCTCTGAGCAACCATTCATTTCCTCAGATTTAAAGGGTTTCTGAATAATCAGAGACCACCCCACACTCCAGGGTAGGAGCAGTGGGGGGCAGGGGACTTGAGCTGAGGTCCCAGGGAGAAGGCAACTCACTGGGAGGCCTAATTAGCTCGCTCTGAAGCAATCCGGAGGAAGAAGCTCACTGTGGTGAGTAAAGCTGTTGCTACTATGAGCCAAGAGACTGACAAGTGGATTTTAAATCAAGCACATAAACGTGAGTGAAAGAAACTGTTCTGTGTTCTCAAAGCAAAGACTGCCACATTTGTAGCCCCTAATAGACTGGGAAATCTCCCCAATTCTACTTAACTGGCCAGAACCGAAGGGAGAACTTTCCAACTTTGGCAGTGTTTTGGCAGAGTAGAGGGGAACGGCTGGGCAAAATACCAACAAACTGCTAAAAGGAGTGCAAGAGGAAGAGAGATTTTAAAGAGTGACTGGGAAATCTCCCCAATTCTACTTAACTGGCCAGAACCGAAGGGAGAACTTTCCAACTTTGGCGGTGTTTTGGCAGAGTAGAGGGGAATGCCTGGGCAAAATACCAACAAACTGCTAAAAGGAGTGCAAGAGGAAGAGAGATTTTAAAGAGGTATTGGAGTTTTGGGAGATAAACTGACATAAGATTTGTGGATGTATAAAGAGCTAGCAAGTCCCCACTCTTTCTATGATCTCAATTTTTCCCTCCACCAGGAGGGGGGCAAGAGGCCCATTATAAAAAGTGGGGTGAAATGGTAGAAATTTAATAAAGACTAAAAATGTTTGCTATTTCCATAATTGACTATAATTGACTATTGATAGTTTTAAAACTGACTCCCCCCCCAACAGAGCGCGGCCATATATGGAACAGCTGGGAAAGACGATGACCTTGAGCA